TAACTGGAGTAAGACCCTGGAAAAGTCAGCGGGAAAGATGTAAAATGCAACAAGATGTGTTTTAGAGGGAAATCAATATTTCAGATATTGATCGGCGAGGCTAGGTTTAGAAACTTGTTCTGTTTAGTCTCCAAGTGCTCAGCTACAGTTGTGGCCAAAATTATTCAACCCCCACTGAAATTGAGTGTTTTGGCCAGTTTGACATTGCTTTTGATCATTCAGTCATCTTGCTTACATTTACATTAAAGAGGCACTTGTAGGTCAGACAAATATAACATAACAGTTATAATGAAATAACCACAAAATGTCTTTTCTGTGCTCACAGCATTATCAGTTTTATTCAACCCCCAAGTGACATTCAATCTTAGTACTTAGTACAGCATCCTTTTACAGTTATAACAGCTTTTAAACGTGAAGCATAGCTTGACACAAGTGTCTTGCAGCGATCTACGGGTATCTTCGCCCATTCTTCATGGGCAAAGGCCTCCAGTTCAGTCACATTCTTAGGCTTGCGCACTGCAACTGCTTTCTTTAAGTCCCACCAGAGGTTCTCAATCGGATTTAAGTCTGGTGACTGCGATGGCCACTCCAAAATGTTCCAGCCTTTCCTCTGCAACCATGCTCTAGTGGACTTGGAGGTATGCTTGGGATCATTGTCCTGTTGAAAGGTCCAACGTCTCCCAAGCCTCAGGTGTGTGACGGACTGCATCACGTTTCCATCCAATATCTCCTGGTACTGAAGAGAATTCATGGTACCTTGCACACGCTGAAGCTTCCCTGTACCTGCAGAAGCAAAACAGCCCCAAAGCATGATTGACCCTCCACCATGCTTCACAGTAGGCAAGGTGTTCTTTTCATCATAGGCCTTGTTCTTCCTCCTCCAAACATAGCGTTGATCCATGGGCCCAAACAGTTCTAATTTTGTTTCATCAGTCCACAGAACACTATCCCACAACTTTTGTGGTTTGTCCACATGGCTTTTGGCATACTGCAGTCGACTCTTCTTATTCTTTGGAGACAGCAAGGGGGTACGCCTGGGAGTTCTGGCACGGAGGCCTTCATTACGCAGTGTGCGTCTTATTGTCTGGGCTGAAACTTCTGTACCCACATCTGACAAATCTTTTCTCAGTTCCTCAGCAGTCACACGGGGACTTCTCTCCACTCTACGCTTCAGGTAGCGCACAGCAGTCGAAGTCAGCATCTTCTTTCTGCCACGACCAGGTAGCGTTTCAACAGTGCCCTTTGCCTTGAATTTGCGAATGATGCTTCCTAAGGTGTCTCTTGGTATGTTTAACATCTTTGCAATCTTCTTATAGCCATTGCCCTTCCTGTGAAGAGAAATCACCTCTTCTCTTGTCTTCCTGGACCATTCTCTTGCCTTCACCATGTTTGTAACCACACCAGTAAATGTCTAGAAGGAGCTGAGTATCACAGTCATTTTAAAGCTGCCTAATTGGTGCTTATTATGCTTGATTGCTGCTCGGTGACATCCACAGGTGTTTTCAATACCTGATGGAAAGCACCTGTATGAACCTCTGTTTCTTCAGAGTGGTAGTCTTTAAGGGGGTTGAATAATTGTGGCAATGAAGAAACCACATAAGAACCATTTACTACTGTATTACATAAACAATTGATGTCATTTTAGTTGCATTTGGGTAGTTACAAAACGTCCTTGTAGGATTTGATTCTGAATACAATTCCAAATGTACACTATAGTCCCTAAACCCCTTTACAGCATTGGGGGTTGAATAATTTTGGCCACAACTGTATATGCGACGCACCACCTGCCTTGAAAATCAATGCAATGCAAAGGAAGCCGTGAGCTGTCATCAAGGAGTTAAAGAACTGTGATCACCAAATAACATGCTGTCCAGTCATATGTGCCAAGTGTTTGAATGTCTATAATATTTACTGCATGGGCGGCACAGTGGCTTATGGTTAGCAAGTCTGCCTTGCAGTAAATGGATCATGGGTTCAATTCCTGACCATGGCGCCCCCTGCATGGAGTTTGCATGTTCTCCCTGTGCTTGTGTGGGTTTCTTCTGGGTACTCTGGTTTCCTCCCACACTCCAAAGACATGCTGGTAGGTTAATGGGCTCCTGTCTAAATTGTCCTAGTTCATCCCTGGCCATGTTTGCAATTCCCTGTCACTGGCACCATCTCTTTCTTTCCAGTGGGGTAATAAAATCACTTACCTTTTTTGTACATGGTGCATTCCTTTTTTGTATTTTCCAACTCAGCGCTTTACATCTTTGAGCACTGGAAGGTATACTGCACTATGATAGTTACATAGTTAGTACGACTGAAAAAAGACAAAAGTCCATCCAGTTCAACCATTAAAAAAAAAGTTATAATCCAGACGTCAAGAGTGCCCCCTTGTCCTCTGTGATGACCTCAGGGTGAATAACTACACCGAGTTCACTATATGATATTTATACATGGAGATCATATCCCCCCCTTATGTATTATACATGGAGATCATATCCCCCCTTATGTATTATACATGGAGATCATATCCCCCCTTATGTATTATACATGGAGATCATATCCCCCCTTATGTATTATACATGGAGATCATATCCCCCCTTATGTATTATACATGGAGATCATATCCCCCTTATGTATTATACATGGAGATCATATCCCCCCGTTATGTATTATACATGGAGATCATATCCCCCCGTTATGTATTATACATGGAGATCATATCCCCCCTTATGTATTATACATGGAGTTTCATATCCCCCCTTATGTATTATACATGGAGATCATATCCCCCCCTTATGTATTATACATGGAGATCATATCCCCCCTTATGTATTATACATGGAGATCATATCCCCCCTTATGTATTATACATGGAGATCATATCCCCCCTTATGTATTATACATGGAGATCATATCCCCCCGTTATGTATTATACATGGAAATCATATCCCCCCTTATGTATTATACATGGAGATCATATCCCCCCTTATGTATTATACATGGATGATCATATCCCCCCCTTATGTATTATACATGGAGATCATACCCCCCCTTATGTATTATACATGGAGATCATATCCCCCCTTATGTATTATACATGGAGATCATATCCCCCCTTATGTATTATACATGGAGATCATATCCCCCTTATGTATTATACATGGTGATCATACCCCCCTTATGTATCATACATGGTGATCATCCCCCCCTTATGTATCATACATGGAGATCATATCCCCCCCTTATGTATTTTATACATGGAGATCATATCCCCCCCTTTATGTATTTATACATGGAGATCATATCCCCCCCTTATGTATTTATACATGGAGATCATATCCCCCCGTTATGTATTATACATGGAGATCATATCCCCCCTTATGTATTATACATGGAGATCATATCCCCCCTTATGTATTATACATGGATGATCATATCCCCCTTATGTTATATACATGGAGATCATACCCCCCCTTATGTATTATACATGGAGATCATATCCCCCCCCTTATGTATCATACATGGTGATCATATCCCCCCCTTATGTATTATACATGGTGATCATACCCCCCTTATGTATTATACATGGAGATCATATCCCCCCTTATGTTATGTATTATACATGGAGATCATATCCCTTCTTATGTATTATACATGATGATCATATCCCCCCTTAATCTCCTCTTCTCAAGAGAGAATAAATTCAGTTCCTCTAATCTTTCCTCATAGCTGAGCTCCTCCATGCCTCTTATCAGTTTGGTTGCCCTTCGCTGTACTTTCTCCAGTTCCCCAATGTTCTTTTTGTGAATTGGTGCCCAAAACTGAACTATATATTTTAGATGAGTTCTTCTTTTAAATATCTTCAGAGCTCCCAGGGATCCCAAAACCCCGGTGGTCTGCTATGCACATATCAACCACAGTTTTTATGGTCATGCTCTGGTCTGCCTCCTTCCACCCCCTGTACCTTCCATTTGACCACTAGATGTGGATAGCATCACTGGCCAAAAGAATAAGTGGATAAAGTAGGAGGAGGACTATGCCATCACTCAGCTATGAACGTTACGGTCAATACTTGCAGCACAGCGTACCTAAAGGTTTGAGGATCTCCAAAAGGTAATGTGAGCAGACACCTGGACCTTCTTAGAAGATAAGATTAATTCCTGGGCTTCATTTGCTTTTTCAGGTTTTCTGTTCTGTTTCCATCGCTTTTCTTAACAAGCAATGGAAACACAACCTGACCCTAGACCCCTTCAAGCACGGCCTGCAAAAATTGGGTCGTGTATGATTTCCTAAGGGGCAAAAAGAATTGTGTGGCTCATTAGAAGAACATATTATGATTGATCTATTCTACAATAGGGCATTCATCCTACCCCTTCTTATTGTATGTTCTGCATTTACCCACCAGCAAGTTGCAGTGCACATGGTGAGGAGGGTTTGAGAACGGGCAGATACCTTGTCACCAGGGGCGGACTGACAACTCATGGGGCCCCCGGGCAATAGGGGATCATGGGGCCCCTGTGTCCTTGCCCACACCCAAAAAAGCCTATGAAAGGTACCAGGGACATCTCATGGGGCCCCCTACTGACCCCGGGCCCTCGGGCAGTGCCCGAGTTCTCCAATGGTCAGTCCCGCCCCTGCTTGTCACCCATCTGTGCATACCACTAGGGTCTAAACATCCTGGATGGACCTTTTGCATTGAAGATTCAAACAAGACCTCATTTAATGTACTTTTCTGTTTTTCTAGGTCTCTATACATGCTAAATTATAGTGTAATCTCTTCATGACAGCAACATCTACCCTGCTCTGATCTGTAATACAGATACACCATGCCCCCCCATCTATGTCTGTCCTCGTGACAAAATAATAGAAACTGAAGCCTACACGGGGCAGATTGTTATAAATTTGTGATTCGAGTTAAAATTAAAAATGTATTATCCAGTAATATAACATGAGCAGGGCAATGAGTAAGAGTCTGACCCGACCAGAATAAAATCTTTCATTCTTTATACTAGGAGTGTGTGATGTTGACCATCAGAATAAAGCGGGGTACACGCCTGTGATGCTTACCCCTTTGGCATCAGCAGAAACGGAGGAAGATATGCAAGTTGTGAAAGCTCTTCTCAGTCTTGGCAATGTCAATCTGACCGCCAGCCAGGTACGTCAACAACATATAGGTATGATCGCTGCACAGAAAGTGTTATCTTTGTACACGATGGTAAACTGCATTGTAGTTTTTTTTTTAAACTGTGTCTACTACTTATTTCAGGGTTTTTTTTTTGGGGGGGGGGGGATGACCCTGGTAGCAGGTTTTTATTGCCTGTCTGTGTCCCCACAGGGTATATTTACACTTTCTATTTGCCCTGGTGTCCATTGTCATGTGATGGAAATCCCCAAATTATCAGTTGTCAGCAAAATCTTTCAGTGGGGATGGAGATGGAGATTTGACCTCTCACTTTTTCTCTGTGTCTACAGGATAGGGAATGATGTGAAATCTCCCATTAAAAAAAAAAATATGACAGAAAAGTGACTACACTCAAAACCTTTTTTTTTTTTTTTTTTATTGTTTTGGACAGAGTAGAGAAGGATTAGTACACCTGTCAAATTGTATTGTCTGTACCCATGTCAGGGATATGCACCCTCTCCAATTGTCCTGTTTACCATTATGATTAAAAGTGAAAGTCAAGAAAATCTAAAATTTTGCATTGATATCAGAACAGCAATAGAAGGTAAGTCTTTCAATGGGGACACTTGTTCTGGTGACACGCAGAGATTCCTTCACTTTGGAGGGATTTTCTCTCACTTCCTGTTCTGGCTGTGGGATAGGATGTGGGGGGGGAACTCTTCAATGGGATACAGATGATGAAAAGCAAAAAACACAAAAAACAACTGATATGAGGTTAGGATCCTGCTTTACTCTATTCCAAAATATATATATATTATTATTATTACATCGAGTTTATATAGCGCCAAAGGGTTTACTCAGCGCTGTACAATACAAGAAACAGAACAGCAACAACAACAGTACACGAGGGGTTAGAGGGCCCTGCTCCTTGGAGCTTACAATCTAGGAATATATATACATATATAATATATATATACGCACTTACAATATATATATATATATCATATATATATATATATATATATATACATACATATATACACATATATATATATATATACACATATATATATATATATACATATATACACAAATATATATATATAATAATTATACATAAATACATATAATATATATATAACATAATATAATATATATACACATACACATACACATACACACACAGCACAGTGGCTAAATGGTAGCACTTCCGCCTGGCAGCACTCGGGTCACTGGTTCGGATCCCAACCGTGGCACCACCTGCCTGGAGTTTGCATGTTCTCCCTGTGTCTGCGTGGGTTTCCTCCGGGTACTCTGGTTTCCTCTCACACTCCAAAGACATGCTGGTAGGTTAATTGGATCCTGTCTAAATTGTCCCTAGTATGTGTATGTATGAATGTGAGTTAGGGACCTTAGATTGTACGCCCCTTGAGGGTTAGGGACTGATGTGAATGTACAATATATATGTAAAGTGCTGTGTAAATTGATGGCGCTATATAAGTACCTGAAATAATAATAATATATATATATATATATAAAACTCTGTATAAATGGTGGTATAAGTACCTGAAATAAATAATAAAAACTACAAAAAAGTTTTGGAAACATGAAGTGAAAGAACTTGACTGTCAGTGGAATAGGTCCCCGTGAGAAGATTTCCCCTCTATACCTGTTCTGGCGACAACCTAAAATTTTAGATTTTCTCTAACCAGTGCCAGTAGTCATCAGAAAACATATCTTCAACTGGGACACAGACAGCAATAAAAACCTGACAAGGGGTTCCAACCCCTCAACACCCCATCAAAAGCTAAAAAAAACTTCTTCTACCAGATGGGCTGTCCAGATGCAGGCCAGTGCGTACCTTTTTTTTTTTTCCGCATCAAAAATACATGCAGTGTTTTCTATGTATTCCAACGGCCCTAGTTCACACCAGTGCAGTTAGTTCCCATGCAGAGCATCAAAAAAAAGTAGAACACGCTGCATTTTTTTTCTGCACAGAACTGTACTGCAACACAGCAAAAAACATCAAAACGCACCGGAACGGAGTGTGGTGTGAACTGTAAGCAAAAACGCATCTGGAACTCATCCGGAGTACTTTTATACGGTGTGAACTGGTCCTTACAACAGGTTGATCTCATTGTTATTGTTTTAGAAAAACCCTAAAGTGAGAATGTATACTAGGTGAAAAAAAAAGATGTGGAAATAAGGCAGGCCATAGACGGGACGTTTATCGGCCGAATTGTTGGCCGATAAACGGAAAAATCGGTCGGCCCCCTTACCGATGCTGCCACCAATGTCCACGAAAAACGGACATTTTTCATGGATTTTCCAGCATGACCGATAAAATTAAATAAGGAGATCCACGAACAACGGCCGATGGGCTGGCCCCACTAATTGGCGTGAATTTCGGATGATTTTCCATGCGGATGAAAATTCGGCCAATAAACGACCCGTCTATGGCCTGCATAAGAATTAGCCCTGGTTCACACTGATGCAAATTGTCATGCACATGCAAGACCGGCAATGGACCAGCAATGGAAACTTTCTAACTGGAGCGACTCTGACTTTGTCAGTCACACCGATTAGAAAAGTAGTTCCTGCCCTACTTTTGCCGATTGGGGGGCAACTTGCATAGATATCTTCAAGTGGGACGCAGACAGCAATACAAACCTGACAAGGGGTTCCAACCTCTTAACATCCCATCAAAAACTAAAACCAAATACACTTCTAGGGCTGGTTCACGCCAGATGCCTTATTTGCTCGTTTCCATCAAACTTCTGAAAAACAACGACATCGCAGAAGCGGATTTAAATTTTTTGAGACTTGAATAATTCCCAGATCTTCAATTTTACATTTCATCCCAGCTGCAGTACAACTAGCGATTGTGACTGTACAGAATGAATTCCTTCTTCAGACACAGACTTCTTGTTTTTTCGTCTCATTTATATGAATATATTCAGAATGGCGTCACAGAAAAATGTGTTGAAGAGTTGCACACAACTGAAGTTTCCTATTGTTCCTTTCCAGTAAAGCATGGGAAAGTCTTATGAAATGATAGGTAACCTATGGAGTAGGCAGCCACGAGCCCAGAAATGTATGAAATGTTACAGATGTTAACATTTACTTGTTGGAAATGACCTTTGCTCCATTCTTCTGCCCTGGTGCTTCATTTTATTTCCCCTCTTTGCACCCCTTTTTCCTGTCCCCTTCCCCCCCCCCCTTTTTTTTTCTCTTGTTGGTTATCATCCTTTATTCATTTTTTTTGGTGAAGGCTTTGGAGAACAACATACAGTTGATAATGAACAATGGAGGTTTTCTGATGACTCTAGACTTACGAGCATTCCTATAGTCAAGAATTTCTGTCTTTTGCCACCAAAAGATCAGTATACTCAATAGTTGGTTCTAACTGGTGTCTCCATTACTCATCTGTGCCTGAGTTGTCATGGCACGTGCCTATGTTTGTTATCCTACGCATTTTGTAGAGCGATTTTTTTTTTCCCTCCCCCCAACTCAACCCCTTCCTATTTTTTTTTTTTTTTTTTTTTTTTTAGACTTCTACCTTTATGGTGGTTCTGAACAGTACTCACCCACCCAGCGGTTCCAATGCTTGCCAGTGGAGATCCTCCTCTCTCTTCTGGCAGTACTTGGTCCCGCGCCGCCATGTTCTGCTGTGATATCATTGAGAGGCTGCCAGCTGCTGATATTATTATTATTATTATACAGTATTTATATAGCGCCAAAGGGTATGCTCAGCGCTGTACAGTAGCAAGGGGGACATAACATGAGACAAGACAGTAACAATACAATACACGAGGGGATCGAGGCCCTGCTCTATCGAGCTTACAATCTAGGAGGGAGGGGAAGGTGGTACAGGAGGAGATGGCTGTGGGGGATGGAGTGGCGGGAGGAGTGGAGTAGGTTAGTTGTTAGGTGAGGTCGGGTGTTAGGTGAGGTTGGGGTAGGCTTCCCTGAAGAGGAGGGTTTTCAGGGTGCGCCTGAAGGTGAGGAGGGTAGGTGACAGTCTGATGGATTGGGGTAGGGAGTTCCAGAGGATGGGGGAAGTCCTGGAGAAGTCCTGCAATCGGGCGTGGGAGGAGGAGACCAGGGAGCTAGAGAGTAGGAGGTCCTGTGAGGAGCGGAGGGCACGGGTAGGGTAGTATTTGGGTATCAGGTCAGTTATGTAGTTCGGGGCGGCGTTGTGAATGGCTTTGTAGGTCAGAGTTAGCAGTTTGAATTTGATGCGTTGGGCAATCGGGAGCCAATGAAGGGATTGGCAGAGGGGGAGGCAGATGTGGAGCGGTTGGTGATGTGGATGAATCTAGCCGCTGAGTTTAGGATTGACTGGAGTGGGGATAGCGTTCGTTTGGGTAGGCCGGTGTGAAGGGAGTTGCAGTAGTCCAGGCGTGAGATGATGAGGGAGTGTGCGAGTTGTTTGGTGGTGTCTGGGGTGAGGAATGTGCGTATCTTGGAGATGTTGCGGAGGTGGAGCCTGCATGATCTAGATAGCAGTTGGATGTGGGGTAGGAAGGAGAGGTGGGAGTCCAGGGTGACACCCAGGACTTTGGTGTGTGGGGTGGGAGAGATGGTGGCGTTGTTAGTAGTGATGGAGAGGATGGGGGGGGCACGGGGGGGGGGGAAGACCAGGAGCTCGGTTTGTCTTTCGAAGACACCCCGTTAGGACCGCCCTCTTCTTTTAACAGAATTAAATGCTTTGCCCCCTGGGATGTGTGACGTGCATATACCTAGGCCAGGGGTGGGCAACTGTGACCCTCCAGCTGTTGTAGAACTACAAGTCCCATGAGGCATTGCAAAACTGAGTTACAAGCATGACTCCCAAAGGCAGAGGCATGATGGGACTTGTAGTTCACCAACAGCTGGGGGGCCACAGTTGCCCACCCCTGACCTAGGTGAATGACTTATATGGCAAGGGGGGGGGGGGGGTGATGTGCCATGGGAGCTTATGGGTGATGTCACGGCTCCTGGTGTTCTCAGCTGTTATTGAGCGCTTCCTGAGCTGGACCCGCAGGAACATGTGACCAGAGGCAGGAACATGTGACCAGAGGCAGGAACATGTGACCAGAGCAGATTAAAATGATGCAAGTACGCACATCTTTTTTTTTTTAGACAGGATAGGTAGGAGGATGGGGGGGGGCAATTTTTTAAAAAATAGCTAGACTGAGACTTTTGTTCTACTTTTAAAGAGACCCAAACGGTTTAGCGTCATGCACATCCGCTCATCCATCATGCACAAAGCTGTAGAGTTGCTTGGTCGCCTGAAAGACGACAGTTGGCTTGTAAAAGATGGAAGCTTTCTCGACCTTCTTTAAGTCCCTTCCTCAGGCTTGGCTTTATACAATAAAACTCAGAATGGTTGTTGAGTGTGAAATGGGATAAATGGTGTGAGACCTGATCTTGGGATCTCTCTTCCAGGGTGGGCAGACAGCGCTGATGCTTGGTATTAGCCATGGTAGGTCCGACATGGTGAAGGTTCTGCTGGAGTGCGGGGCAGATGTGAACATGCAGGATGAGGATGGAGAATCTGCTCTGATGATCGCCTGTCACTTGGGAAATGTGGAAATTGTCAAGCTTATTTTGTCTCAACCCGACTGCAATGTGGAATTAATGGACAAGGTAAAAATCACAATGGTCTGAAAGTACTTCATGTAAGAAAATGAATCTTTATTGTCATCTCTGCTGAAGTGAGGAAAATCTAAATATATACTGTAATTATATAACATTTCAACTTATTTAAAAAAGCATGGCTGAAGTATTTCGGAGGTTGCGGCTGCCATGACCTTACCTCTATTCCTCATAGACCGTCCTTCTACCATAAATAATGACACCGACACATAGTTGTGGATTTAAGGTCATAGCAGCCCTTTATTATTAACCATCAATAAAAAAATAACTTTTTAATTGCATTTCACAAAACAAGACTTTTTCAACCATAAAGTACCTCGCTGGCTTTTTCTGAGTCTCAGGTTAATGAAGGCACATTTTTCTATCACATCGGCTGCATCAACCGATATTTCCGTATCCCGGTCCCTAGCCGCACTTACAGCAGCTCAGGGACAATTAGTTAACTGTTTTAACACCTGATGTAGCCGGATGACCGTTAGCCCCTTACTGATGTCACTTAATAGGAAGGTACAACCATACCGAGATGGGCCCAACCCATTATACTCCACCTATTGTTTTTGACCATGCTGGCCTACAACAACCTGAAACCCCTGCCTGCCGCCAAGGCCAACAACAAACCAACCCCTTGAAATTGCCCTCAGAAACAAAACCCTGTAGCACCCATTGCCCCCCCATTTTTTCCCATGAGAAAGACCACAAAAGAAATTGACCCTTACAAACAGCAGAAAAGATGATGGGAGACAAGGCGGGTAAGTGCCTTCTTCTCTGACCAAGCTTGGACTGACCCCTCTGGTACTCCTCCCCTCTGCCAGACCCCTACTGTTCCAATAAGCCTCAACCCCCCCCCCCATCCTTGGTCAACCAATAAGGTAAGCTTTGCTCTTTTCTTTTAAAACCAAACATCCTTCACTGCCTGACTGTACCGGATATCGTATGTACTCTCCAGCGCCTCAGGATGTACACAGCCAAAAGGGAAGCCAAGGGTACCAGGACAGAGACAACCAAAGGAAATGCTTCAGGGGTGCAGCCCTCCTCAGACGGGGAAATCAGCCACTGGATAGAGAGAAAACAGGTGGCGCACACACCTAGTGCATTATCCAAGGTTTATTGTAGGAGTGAAAGAATAATAAAAACATACTCACAGACGACGCATGTATCTAAAAAGCATAGAAAAATGACAATGGCTACAACGGCGGGAGGTGTTCTCACTGTCAGTGCGGTCAAATGGCTGACGCATTACAGGGACGAATCCCTTTCCTCAGAGCTGATGACCAACCTCTCATGCTGATGTATGATGAATGGAAAGTAAGAGCCTTGCTGCTGATGCCTCGACACCTGTTTTCTCTCTATCTACTGCCTGACTGTAGCCTACCCAGCAAACTCAGTCATGCAGCCCTAGGCCTTTTACATTTCAATGGGATGTACACACATACATACAGTCAGGCCCATAAAATTGGGACATCACACAATTCTACATTTTTGGCTCTATACACCACCACAATGGATTTGAAATGAAACAAACAAGATGTGCTTTAACTGCAGCACTGTCCAGCTTTAATTTGCCAAAGGGTATTTACATCCAAATCAGGTGAACGGTATGTAGGGAATTACAACTTTTGCGTATGTGCCCTCCCACTTGTTAAGCCAGCAAAAGTAATATGGGTGCCATGATGTAATAATCCTGCCTTTAAGAATACTTGGTTATTGTACTCTAAAATAGCACTGCATGTTTATTACATCACTGTAGAGATGGAACGCGTATGACCCCTAGCAGTACACTGGGTTTAATCTGTATAACCAGCCAGGCCTCTACTGTGCATTTTTTTTACAGTTCCTTTGTTTTTGGGCATTTTGCCCTTTTGGCCATAAAATGTCTTCAGACCCCAGTGAAATGCTATCGGTTTTCTGAAAGTCAGAGTGATAGAATTGGCCATTGCAATTTTCCACTTCTTTCCTGTTTTTAAAAAACTCTTTGGTTTTTTTGAAAAAGTCTGCTACAATGGGTCATTGTCCACTGCACTGTGAACGGCACAATTTGAGTTTAAGCATAGAAAAGCTGAATATGGGTCGAGATAATATTCCCGAAACACTTCCAAGTATTAAATTTGTGTGCTTCTGTCGAGATCACTCAAAAACTGCATACAAGAAACCAATTCCATTGGCATGCTTTAAACGCCTTTACTGCTCATCACCATTAGAGGTAGGTGCAAGTCCTGGCACAATGAGTATTGCTGTCACTCTGACGTTCAGGGCAACACCTTTCACATGTGGTGCAATTGCAGTTTATATACATGTGCGCACCCTGGTACATTTGCATCTTCCATAGGTGTGTGCAGGGAAACTGTTATGGTTTTTTTAATATAATTTTATATTTTTAAATTTGGCTTTGGTGCATTTTTGAGGATTCTGTGAATGGTTTCCATCTTGGTGGCGAACCCTGACTGTATACTCTGGTGAGTCTTCTCTTGATGGTGGTGACTTTGAACTGACTACACCTACATCCTGGAGAGTGCTAATTGCATCTGACACTGGGTGAAGGGGTTTTCATCTGGGGGATTAAAGTTAATGGTGTCTGTTTTCTGTCAAGCCACAGTTGTTTTCCGTGGTCTTCCAGAGCCATTTGGTGTTGCTGTGCTCACAGGGGAGAGATCTGTATTAAGAATGTTACATACAGAGTTTTCCCCTGTCAGTGTTTTCCTCGGCAATTGACTTGTGGCGGTGGGGAATCTCCGGCCGGGACCCAGTTTTCGACAGCTGTAGCCCTAATGGAGCGCTTGCCCTACCTGATAATACAAAATTGGTATCATCTTACAGTAGTTCCGCTATAGCAACAGGTCCAAATGCAATAGCACACTTGAAATGACTCTGTACAATCTGCTCATTGTAATTAGCCAACAATGAGGTAAATAACACACACTGACCATTTGGAAACTTGGGCTGCCCGAGGGCCCGGGGAGTAGGGGGCCAATTGTCCCCTTACTTTTTTTTGGCTTTTTTTGAGTTTCCCTTAACAAGTGGCAATCGGTCTAGTACACATATGCAAAGTTGTACATTACACCGTCAAACCTGATTTGGATGTAAATACCCTCAAATTAAAGCTGACAGTGCCCGGGGTCAGTTAAAGCACATAAAATGCCCCTTGTTTCTTTTTCATATCCTTTTTTTGGGTGTGCTTTGAGTGTGTTGGCAAGGACATGTACATACAGTCTTTAGGTAATGCTCACCTGATCCCCTATTGCCCGGGGGCCCCATGAGTTGTCAGTCCGCCCCTGGTAAGGACCTACCTGCCAATGGAAGATTGTACAATCTTGATTGTAACATGCTCCCAGATTTTATCATTCCGGTTTGCAGTTTTAAGCCGCCTTCCGTCCACCTGCTGTTCATGCCAAAGCCTTCCCTTAACAGAACAGGTTTCCAGGTATGAGGGCACCTGATCTTCTTTACATACAGTGCGCGCCCAGGCCTGGAGCTGCCAACCACCAGGCCCAAATATGGGTGCCATGATGTAATCCTCCGGACCTAAGGCCTGTGGGGATGTGTCTCGATTAAGTTAGCACTGATGATTTATTAATGCAAACTGTAGCAAGATGATAAACCCTTATGACATCCTAGCTTAGTAATGTGAAAAATAATCTGTATAACCAGTTGGGCACATGCAATTTTTTTACATTTTGTTTTTGAAAAATCTGCCTTGTAAAATCACTGTAAACCCAGGACAAAATGTTTTTCTGACCAATCACAGATGACACTCAGTAGAATTTTTCTCAATGGCTGCAAGAATGCAGACAGAGAGAAAGAGAAAGATTGCAATTTTTTACAATATTTGCGCAACTGTTTAGCAAACTTGAATTTTCATAAAAAAATATAAAACAATTAAATGTACTGAGGTAAACACTCCCCCATACACAATTTTTTTTATTTAAATAGAAAACTGATAGGCCACAGTGTCGAGTAAATAGATACCAAGTATTAAATTTGTGTGCAACCGCGAGATCACTAAAAACTGCAGAAACCCAAAAAGATCTCCATAGGTGATGCTTTAAAACCTTTATGCTCATCAGATTAGAGGTAACTGAGTCCTGGCACAATGAGTATTGCTGTCACTCTGACGTTCAGGGCAACACCTCGGAATACATTTCGGCCAAGATTTATGCAATTGCAGTTTATATACATGTGCGCACTATTTTTTCTGGGCACATTTGCATTTACAGGTGTGTGCAGGGAAACGGGTGGTTTATCTGTTCAAAAAAATGGTATTATAAAAATTTATGGGTACAGTATTGCATGTTGCAACCGTTTAATTGTCATTTAAAGTGTAATAGCGCTGAAAGTGAATATTGCCCTGGACGGGACTATGGGGGCATTCTGACACTTGGACTGGAACTGGTTAATTGACATCCCCAGTGCTAATAATAGCACTGCTGGGAGGTGGGGGTCTTGCTCTGGGTCCCCCCAAAGCCAGTATGGTGTGCATCTTTCCGGCAAGCCACATAATGGAGCATTTTTGTGTGGCTGACCCTATGCAGAGCTGCAAAGTAAAACCATAGCACATATGCACATGATCAGAAAACAAGATCTGTAATGTACAACACAATCTCCCCTGAGAATTGCCTCCAGCGATGCCACTTGGGGATCGGTGGGGAATCTGTAAGACCTGGAAACAAATTCAATTACATGCAACGCTGCCCTAACACGCCCTCACCCAGTAATATTTATTAGGAGATTTATATACACACTGCACAACATCTTGGCAGAAAATATAGGGAGATGAAGTGGAAATTAGTGTAGCAATCAGATTGTACAATTTCATGAATGAATTCAGGTTGTTCTTGGAGTGGCCAGGGGAAAGAACTGGAATGCAGTGTAGGTGAACTCAGAAGGGGGCCCCATGGGCCACCTAGGATACCTTTTTCATTTCGTTTTTGGCAGATGTCAGGGATTTCACAGCTTGGCAGTGGCAACGGCCAGTACTTGCCATACGCCCCTATAGT